GAGATGTTACATACATATATATATATGCATATTTAACGTCCACGTTTATTTTATTCAATTTTTATTTATCATTAAAAATGATGGATCGTGCGGGTTTCGTTTTTAAAAATTAAATTAGACAAAAAACTTGTCGCCATGTATAAATAGCACGCACCCGTTACAATATGGAGTTCTATTGGTTTTTCAATGCATTTTACGGGAAACAGTGATTTTTCATGTACGAGGAAAAAACCGTTGCCATAGGATTGAAATTGTGGTCAAATATACTTTGTTAAATTGAGAATCAAACCTGTGTATTGAATTTATTTTCCATTTGAGTACAAAAATATTTTTTCGATGTTTACGCCAATGCATCTACTAAATATTGAGTGCATACGACAATAGCTGATTGATGGAGACATCTGTGTTTCCAGGAAGAGAAGTAGGTCATACTACAAAATACACACTGGTAAAACAATACTGGTATAGTGTAATCTTTTGTAAAATACATTTTGTATAGTTATCTTACAATAACTAATTAATTTCTTTTTTTAAGTTCTTTCCTTGATTCTTGTTGGTGACTTCTGCATGTAATTGTTCATGCCAATGCAAAATTAACAATTTAAGCTGCTTTACTACATTCTCGAAGTAGTTTTCTCGTAATTTTCGAAGTTTTTCGCTTGATTTTCGAGATTTTTCCGGATTTAGAGAATTTTAGATTGTCTGAGAAGTGGTTGAGTTTCACTATTTGCGAATTCCGAATTTTTTTCGAATGTCTACAATGTAGTTGACCTACACTATATTATACACTATATTGATAATTCCGAAATTTCGAATGTTTAAGAAGTGGTTGACTTATACTACTTGTTGATTCCAAAATTTTCGAGCTTCTGAGAAATGATCGACTAACACTAATTATTGATTTCGGTAAATAGAAAATTTTCATTATTCGAGCAAGTAGTATAAGTCAACCATTTCTCAAACGCTCGAAATTTCTTTTAGGAATCACAAAGTAGTCTAAATCAGTCACTTCAATTTTCAAGAACTTCAACTCGCGACAACTTGTCTGCATTATTCAAGCTATATTAGCATCCGCCGGGCTATCTAATGTATTTTTTTGTCACAGGACCCCGGGGTTCTGGAACCCCGTTACCACTACCCTACTGTATTGATTGGGACTAGTATTGCATCACTACGCTATTAATGGTAGAAATTGAAATCAAGAACACTTGGCATTTCTTATTTTATACAATGAAGGAGATAAAATCTCGAATCTTAGGATGAATCAGATGAGATTCAGTCACACATTTGCGTTTTGGGAATCAAGGGTGTAGTATGTATTGACAAAACAGTAACAATGTGCACACGACCAATATCCATCGTTTTGCACGATGCAGTTCTTAAAGTTACCGTTTTTAAGCGTAGAGTGCGTTTCAAAGCTAGTAGCTTTGGACCACGTCGGTATTTCAGATCGTGTGATAAAAAATTCCATATGATGATTGGGGTCTACTCTATATCTCGTCTGTGGTTGGTTCACACCAAAGACGAGGTACAGGATAGGCCATAAGATGCAAGGGTTCCATATGATGATTGGGGTCTACTCTATTATATCTCGTCTGTGGTTGGTTCACACCAAAGACGAGGTACAGGATAGGCCATAAGATGCAAGGTTTATCCTGTACGTTGTCTGTGACGATAGATCTATTCTCTACCTTTTTTGTGGTAACGGATTCTTACGAAGACGTGTTCTAGTTTACCGACCAACGCGAGAAGCAGTAGTTTCTGAAGGAACCTTTTGTACTAGAATTATTAAACGAGTTTCACTGAACTACATATATTTTTACAAGATCAATAATCAGCATAAAATAACAATTATAAAACTATAACAATAATCTTCTTCTCTAAAGGATTTTACACGACTGACTGCCTCGCGGATAACTGCACCTGAAGCAGAACTTAAAAAAGATGGCGCTGGTATACTTCTGCGTAATTCTACAATTTCCGGTGGATCTTCTCTAGAGGAAATGGACTCGTTTATTCCTTTGACGGTAGGAAGTGGACGTCGCTCATCGAAATTTTCTGTCCTTGTCTAAACCTATCGCTCTCCTTATTTAACACGCAGCACTATCGCTATCCTTGTCAATCTCTATTCCTTTCTTTGTCTAACTCGTTTCTACAGTGATATCCTTGTCTACCTCATTTCTCTATTGCTTCAATTGTCGCTCCTTATTTCTACAATAGAGCTACCTGCGTACATTTCAATTTGAAAAAAATTTGATAAAATTTCAAATTCTAAGAAGTCCTCCTTGAACGGCCAAGATTTCAAGAGGATACGTCCCTGGTCGCCAGTCACCGCGAAGAAAGTGCTTGGAATGTTTGCAGTTTCGATCAACGACGATTCAGGACTTGTGGTCGAAAAGGAATGTCGTCCGAAATCGAAAGGAGCCTCCAGAGCTTCCTTGTAGAGGGGAGGACGAGTCAGTAATGACATTTTACGACCTTAAGACTGGCGCCTATCGATGACTCTCAAGGCTACGGAGAACGTGTCATCGCGTCGAACGATCGAAAGTTTTCGAAATTAACTTGTACACGCTAAATGAATTCGAAAGTTCATTCTTTCACACCGAGTAAAAAGCCGCATTCCCCGTAAAATCTTTCAACAGAGTGAGAAATATTCGTGCAGACAGAAAACAGCGTAACAAAAAGGCAATCATAAACGGAATATTCTAAAAATTCTCAGGTAGACGAAAAAAGAAGACGCTAAATTATACAGTTGAAGAAATAGAAATTGTCGCATTATTCCTTCTATCCAGAAAATATCCCAAAAGCTTACTAAAAGGTCCATCAAAGATCGAACACTTTAAAGATTTATTTCCCCTCTGAAAAACTTAAACTTCGTTTAATTAAAAGAAAGAATACAAATGATAGAAATTGTTAGAGGAACAGATTCCAAAAGATTATGAAAAAGTCGAACACTTTAAAAATGAATATTTCCTCCCCCGAAGAGATTCAATTTCGTTCAGTTAGAAGAAAGAAGACTAGGGAACAGGTGACAGAAAAAATATTGTCCACATGCTTCGTTTGGTACAACGTTTATTGTGAAATACTTTAATAAGGACTCTAAGAATTACTTAATTACTCTCACGCGTCTCTTAAGCACTAACGTTAACCAAAAGTGTACACGGCGTCGCGACGATGCTAACACGTACTGCACGCCGCAGAAGAAAAGGACAAGGATCAGGAGGGCAAGGATACGGTGGTTATGTACAAGTTGAGTAAACTTACACGAAGAACTCGTCCCTCTGTCCTCGCAGAGGAACAATTCCTTCATTTTCATTTCTTTTGCTCACAATCGACCACGAGAACGTTTCGCGAACACCCAGGGAATTCACAGACTGACGACAGTTTCTTCTGCGACAATAATAAAATAAAACGAAAAGAAGCAAAAGATTAGAAAAATTCTACCTGTAGAATCTGAAACAACATCACAATAATACACATTCTTCTAAGAATTTTTTAACAATAAAAATTACAGTAAAATCGAAACATCCTGCCACTACTTATAATCTCCTCGATAATTCCTGGTTAAATTCACTCTGTCGTTGATTCATTTTTTTTTTTCCTCTGTCAATCGTGGTAAGAGAGATTCCATAGTTTTCTATTCGCGAAACGTTCGTCGTGGAGAAAATTTCGACGCGTGTTCTCCACAAGAAAATTTCGCTCAACGAACAAAATTTCTTCTCTTTTCTTCGTGAATTATTCTGTTTGGAGACACGTGTCGTGCTATTGACTGATATTCCCCGCGTGTTCTTCATTTGTTCGCGGTGAAACCGTCGCCAGTTGGATCGAGGAGCCATGGATAGTAATTAGGGCATTCCATGCAGGTGAAAAGGCGAAGAGTTTCGCCTGGAAGTTCCCTGGTGGTCAAAGGACAGGCATTTGGAAGGGAACAGTAGGGCTGGCCCTTCTCGTCGCAGGTTTCTTTCCAGTCCTGGAAGTCCCTTAAAGCTGACAGTTCGGTTGGTGTTTGCATCCACTTGATCACCTGCAAGTAGAAGAGAAGCACGCTTGGTCAGACAAGATTTTAAATTTAAATGTAGGAACCACGAGTTGTTGGAAAATTTCATTTTAAATTTGTAGAATGTTTCGTTTAATTTCATTAGAGAGAATAAACACGATATCTGTACTCTGTCCAATTTAAGAATAACCTCGCCTTCGGAACGATTTTCGTCCGTTCTGCGCATAGACAGAGAGCGTAGCAGAGGGTAAGACGGAGAATAACGTAGGCGGTTAAGTGGGAGGTTTGGACGATCTATACATCGTTCAAAATAAGAGTAACCTTGTTTTCGGGCCGATTCTCGTCCGTTCTGTGCATAGACAGAGAGCGTAGCAGAGGGTAAGAAGGAGAAAAATGTAGGCGGTTAAGTGGGGGTTTGGACGTTCTATACATCGTTCAAAATAAGAGTAACCTCGTTCTCGGGCCGATTCTCGTCCGTTCTGTGCATAGACAGAGAGCGTAGCAGAGGGTAAGAAGGAGAAAAACGTAGGCGGTTAAGTGGGGGGTTTGGACGTTCTATACATCGTTCAAAATAAGAGTAACCTTGTTCTCGGGCCGATTCTCGTCCGTTCTGTGCATAGACAGAGAGCGTAGCAGAGGGTAAGAAGGAGAAAAATGTAGGCGGTTAAGTGGGGGTTTGGACGTTCTATACATCGTTCAAAATAAGAGTAACCTCGTTCTCGGGCCGATTCTCGTCCGTTCTGTGCATAGACAGAGAGCGTAGCAGAGGGTAAGAAGGACCGATTCTCGTCCGTTCTGTGCATAGACAGAGAGCGTAGCAGAGGATAAGAAGGAGAAAAACGTAGGCGGTTAAGTGGGGGTTTGGACGTTCTAGCCCTGCCTTAGGCACGTCCCATGCGCGAAGCAAGGTTATTCTTAAATTGGACAGAGTGTAATTCGTTTGTTTGCAATTAATTTCTGACATAAAAATAGATTATTACAGCTATACGAGTTATTTTATGAAAAAAAACTAAAGTTAAAAATTTATTTGTACTGTGAAAGGGTTAAATTCTTCTTTTTTTAATCTTTGTCTATATTACAAAAGAAAGGAACTAAAATTTCAAATTTATTTGTACTGTGAAAGAGTTCATTTTTTATTTTCTTTTTTTATTTTTGTCTATATTATATTTACAACTGGCTGTGTAGAACCAACTAGAAAATTTGTTATATGTGAATATCGTATGCGTATGGGTAACACTTAATAGCGTTTCCACTGCATGTGAAAGGGTTAATTAAATAAATTCTATTGTATACATTTATCTGGACATCTAGTGAATTTGGTCATTCGATGGTCTAAATCTATTCTGCAGCTTTTAAGAGCGTGTATTCTTCGCGTAATAGAATCGTAAGTAGAATAGGTACATGCTTTGTCAGACAGATTTTAAATTTAAGTGTAGGAAGTACCAGTTGCTGGAAAACTTAATTTCATATTTGAAGAATATTTAACTTATTTTCAATACAAAGAATAAATATGATATTTAATTTGTTTCTTTATAATTATTGAATACAATTACTTTTCGACACAGAAACTCTCCTGATACAGATGAAAATTTTGTTTGAGATTATTGCCGTTCTGTACAAGTTATTTTATGGAACAAACTAAAGTTTAAAGTTTTGTGAATATTTTTTTTACACTATCTTAGACTTTCTAGGGTTAATATTTTATTCTAATTTCATTGTTCAGAGACTTTGCATTTGTCCAAAAATATGATAAGCCTATTTCTTCTTGGTTTATGATTATCAATATCTTTCTCACTTTTTGCACTGACTATTAATAATAAATTCAATTCTTAGTACTAAATTTCCTATTCTAGATTAATTTTTTCGTTCGTTCATTCGTTCTTCCTGATTGCCAGAATAACTTTTCTCTCTTTCTCCACTTGTCAAACGGTTTGTCGTTAACACAAACGTTAATCGAATTCTCGAAACAGACGTTTCGTCGACGAGACAATCCGTCGTTCAATTCACGTGGTTCTATTATCCACGATACTCGTTGCAGAAATCGCGTTCGAGTATCGAACGATTCTCTGGAATAAAACTAAAACACGAGTAATTCCTGATGGATTACTGAATCCGTTGATCGAGAGAGCTTACGAATACTGCAGAACCTTCATAAAGACAAAAAGAGAAGGAGAGTCTGTATCATGCGGCTAGATTGAAAGCGGAAAATAAATGGACGTAAAGTGAAATAAAAGCAAGTCCGAGACTTGATGGATAGCGAATGAGAAACGTCGCGATGCGGCGAGATTGAAAACGTCGGATAAATTGGAATAAGCCCAGGCTGCCGCAATAACGACTCCAGAAAATTTCATCTGAATTAGAAACTTCTCTCATTATACACATATTTAAGGGAGGTAATCGTATTTTTTAACCAGAAAATCTCCAATTTCATTCTTCCTGTGAAAAATTATTATCTCCTATTTCTAATACTTTTTGTGAAAAATTATTGTGCAGAATTTTCTGAATCATTTCCTATTCAATCAATGTTTCTTTAAGTTTATTTTCTTATAAAAATGTTTCGATAAGGACATTCTTATGTTTCTTCAAAAACACTTGTCAAAGAGAAGCTTCCCCAAAAAGTGTCTATTTCTTTATAAATTCTATAAATTCAAATGCACGAATAAACAATTCTACAAATTCCCTTTCCAGTGAATAAAACTTGAATAATATTTTATTTCTAGGTCTTCTTGTGGAAAAATTATTTTGTAGAGTTTGTCTCTATTTGCAAAATTTATCTCTAAAGCATTCTTATCTTTATCCTTCTTTTTTTTATCTGATTTATCTAACTCCAAAAAAATTTGAGCTTCTCTGAAAAGTGTCTATTTTTTCGAAAAATTTACAAAGAAATTCTGTAAATTCTATTTCCAGTCAATAAAACTCGACAAGCTTCTACTTCTGTATCATTTGAAAAACAACTGCTACATTTTCCAGAAAAACTTCTAATTCATCGAAAGTATATACAATCGTACAATCAATTCACTCACCTGAACCATGGTAACGAAGTACACGTCACTCCTAGCCAGCATCTCTTCAATAAACTTGATCAACTCCTCCCTGTACTCTTTCTTGCTCTTCAACCACGAAGCATGGAAGTGAAGGCCAAGTGGAGCCCTGTTGCTATTGAAATGCCTGTTGAAATTATGCCTGAGCAATCTGGCGAACTGTTCTCCAGTCTGAATGTTGGAACACGAGTCCACCATGTGGCAACCAGGCAGAGACTCGTCGAAAGTAGGATCATCTCTTCTATCTAACTCGTTCATCACCATTTCCCATACAGGATGAGACCTTGATGGACAGTTTCCACCGTTTCCGTTACATTTGTGCGGCATTCTGAAGTATAGAGTGTACGGCCAAATAGGCACACGGCCCAGAGAGGCAGTGATCGAAGCATCGTAAACGAAGAATTGATCGGCCATCATTTCAAATTGTTTGTTACCGCCCACGCGAAGATAAGGAGCTCTCATTCCAATAATCGAGCCGTCTGTGATGTTTGCAAACCTCTCGATGATCAATCTAGCTCCAGCCATCTCTGCCAGCCAATCGTCGTATGTTCCTTGGGTCCAGTATTGTGGATCGTCTTTGTGTGTCAGAGAGAATACCGCGATCTCGTGTCCACGACGATGGAGATCTTGCACTGCTGAGTAATTCGTGTATTTGTGGGAGACGAAGAACGTTCCTCTGATCTGACAGCCATTCGGATTCTGACGTTGACCGTTGAAGATATCTTCGTACAAGTCGATGTTGTCCACGTTCACTGCTCCGTTGAAGGTAATGGTGATCATTTGAGGCACTTGCGAGGGCTCGATGTTGCCCGGGATCCTTGTACCATCGGCGGAACAATAGCAATCTGGGAGGACGCATTGGGTTGGGTCGCAGTCTGGCGCGCGATTAGGGTCCGTTTCCACGGCTGTAATTGGGAGTAATTGTTGAGTGAAGAGAAAGTTGCCATGTTGAAACATTTGGAAAATTTGTTCTCGGGTTGAAAGAGAACGTAGGCTTTGAAATTTTCAGAAGACAGGAATTTTTCTTGGTGATGGCTGTAAGATGCTTCTTCGAGTTTGGGTAATTTTTTTATACGATAGAAAGTGCTTTAAAACGTTTATTTTTTTTTTTTTTTGTGCAAAGGAGGAAATTTAAGAAAACGTAGATCATTCTTTAGTATTCCCATTTAAGGAGCCCTTGCAATTTTAAAAATTCGGAGAATTTTTGTACAGCAGAGGTTGCAATATTTTTTAATTTTCCCAGAGAAATAAACTTTCATTTCTATGGGACGCAATTCTAGAACACTTGGAAAATTTGTTGTACCGAATATTGCAAAATTAATTTTTTACTAAATTTCTGAATAGTAAAAAACTAATCATCTTCCAAACATCTGAATATCGCACAATTAATTGTCTAACATATCTTTGAATATTGCTAAATTAATCGTCTACCAAATTTCCTTAAAGAAACCAAGCAATTCCCAAATTCTCAATTCCAAAAAAAAAAAACTAAAAATTCGAAGCTCTGACGCAGATAAACCAGCATGAAATCATTCTGCTAAGAGTAATGTTCGCGTGATGCACGCCAAAAAAAGAATCGATCGTGATCGCCAATTCTATTTGATCGAGACACTTACTGCACGCGTTCTCGTCGGATTCGTCCTTGCAGTCCGGTTTACCGTTGCAGAAGAGCTCCTTGTCCACGCACTCGCCGTTACCGCACGATAATTTCCCCTCAGGGCAGACTGGTTCGTCGGTCCTTAGGATGGGCAACACCTTACGCGGCTCTGCAAACGTAATCTTCGTTAACGGGTACGTATATCTCACCAGCCAATCGCTATTAGAGGACCATTGGCGTTCACCACAGCTGTAACTTCTACTTTTACTTCGCCCAATTTATGTACAAGAGCTCGAGGCGCGTTCACAGTGACGCAGGAATCAATTATTCTACAGAGTCTTTAAAAAACAACGTTAACACCGTGTGGTGTTTCAGAATTCAAACTTTTATATTTTACAATTATTCATTCGGAATTTAGTATTCTAAGGTCAAAGAAATTATTATTTGCAGAGTTGTGCAATATGAGATTTCGGATTTTGAACAGTTCAAGTCATCAGTTGAGTGCTGAAAAGTTTTGAGTTCTCTTTTTTGGAGCAACTTAAAGTTTGTGCAGCTTTTGTCGAGTTATTGTTGAGAAATTTAAGTGACATTTCAATTCTTTCCCATTTCTTGCAAAAGAGAAAAAAATTTGTTGGTAATGATGGAGAAAAAAGACATTTATTAATATGATGTATTATGTTATCAGTTCTCTAAAAAAGTTACCTCCATACAAGTGCTAACATTTTTTTGAAACACCCTGTACTTCATTTAACAAGTGTCAATTTATTTTCCTACAATTAAAATAATAACTTCTTTTATGGTTACCAAATAGGAAATTTAACACGTTTCGTGCCACAGGAGAATTCGATGTTTTACGAGAGAGCAAAGCACATTAAAATGGTTATTTAAATAAATAGAAATAAAATATTTAATTTTAGAAAAATGTCCATGTATTACGAAAAATATATACTTTTAAAATATGTATTCTTAGTATTGTCGTCTTATTTTCACATAAGTAGCGTGCTAATTCTTTTCTGTAATAAAGACCTTAAATAAGATAAGTGAAAATACAATATGGGTTTAATTAAACTTCTATTTCCAAAAATTTTCGTGCACCACTGATATTGCACACAACACGAGACGTGTTAGTTCCACTTCACTTCATAATTGAAAATCATTTTTCACTTTCTTTATTGAAATGAGATAATTTGCTCGCCTAACAGTTTGGACAATCCTGGAAAGGGTTAAAGGTGGTTACAGTGCGAAATTAATATGACCCAAAGCTACACGTTACCTCGCCAGCTTGGATATTAAGTATCGAACTAATTACTTCTCGTAGGACCAGTTTTTACGTGTGTATACCTAGTATTTATGTACACGTGGACTTTATATACAGGTGTGAGGAATTTATTCAACACCATCGCGACCTTTTCTCAACGAAAATCTCCAATCAACTTGTACAATGATCTTTTCACTTTCTAATTGAATTTCATCGAAATATTTCATATTGTACAACATTTTACACAGTCACGAAGGTGTCGAACTACTATTTTAAAGGATTCAGACTGTCCTTGTGTTAACAATTCCTACGCCACTGCGTTCAACCGGTCTTTTACTTAGCCTCCCTTTGATTCTTTTCTCATACGAGGAATTTTCCTCTAACTACATATCGCCTGGCGACTGGAAAACGCACAAAACAGGACCAACGTGATGGGCTTGGAACAATGAAAAACCCTCGATTTCTCCTTACTCGATAAATTAAAAAAAAAAAAACACAAACTCTTCTTGGACTTCCATGAAATCTTGAAGATTCCCCAGCGAAGCTTCTTTCCAACTCTTCACTGAAGAATCCTTCAAAAATTCGAACTTAACGCAGAAACTAGAAGTCACAGGAATAAAAATGAAGA